CGCCGCCGGCGGGGGCGGGCGCCGTCCTGACACAGGATGATGCTGCGCAGCTCCGCCACCATCTCCCGGCAGACGGACACCTGCAAGACAGAGGGCCCGGGCCTGTGTCACCGAACCCTGCGCAGATGACCTGGATGTGAAGGTGATGGAGCCTTTCAGTCCGTCTGCTCCCATCGCCACTCAACATCCAGGCGCCAGTCGGCCTGAACACCTTCAGAGACAGCACTCTTTCTGTGGTGGGAACACCCTGCCCCCACTCACTTATTTATTGTTATTTATTTATTTATTTATTCATTTATTTATTTATTTTGCATTTCTGTTAAATGCTGCTAAGCTAACAATTCCTCTCCCTGAAAATTTCCATGATACCAGCTACATTTGGACCCAGAAGCCCACTAAATACTAACTCTTCTCCTCCATGCCAGTCCATCAAGTATTTGAAAAGCGACCGTGTCTCCACGAACATCCTGATCTCAGGCTAAAGAGTCTCCTTTCTTTTGGTCGACTGGTTAGAGCTGAAGAGCATGCATTCTAATAACTAGAACAACAAAACCACAGCAACACTGTTCCTTCAGACCCACAACCTCCTAATAGGAAACCCTCGGGGCCAGCTGTGTTTCAGAATGTTTTGGGTTTTAGGAAGGTAATACAATACACATACGATTAGTACATATATCACCCAGTGGGGGTCAGGGGCAGACTCTATACTCAAACACATTGACATTTCTGTAGCAAACTGTATTTGCCTTCACACTGAATGAGACAAAGACCATACACAAAATTTCATACCAATTCAAGTTAAGCTTTGTCACCAAATGCATTTGTTTAACAAACTTATTTAAAAAACTTGGAACTTTTGGAGTTTCTTAGGTTTCAAAATTGTAGATAAAGAGTCATGAACCAAGGGGCACACCTAGAGGGCCCAGCTCAGGTGACTGGGGAGGCTATCACACAAGGCCACTCTACCAATTCCAGGAGAAATAGCAGCTCTGCCCAACACATAGAAACAAACACAGGGAAGCAGCAAAAATGCAGAGTCAAAGAAACACGTCACAAATGAAAGAAATGGGAGAACGCAAACTACTGGGTACAGAGTTCAAAACCAATTATAAGGTTACTCAAGGATCTTCATGAGGCCTTCAAGGGACTTAGTGAGAATTTCAAGAATCTTAGTGAGAATGCCAAAGACATTGAAAAGGACCAGTCAGAAATTAAGCATACACTAACTGAAATAAAGAATAATGTTCAGGCATTCAACACTAGAGGATTCGAGAATCAAATCAACAATTTGAAATATGAGGAAACAAAAACCACCCAATCAGAAGAGCAAAAAGAAAAAAGGATCCAAAAATATGAAGATAGTGTAAGGAGCCTCCAGGACAACTTCAAGCGTACCAACATCACATCCTGGGGGTGACAGAAGAAGAGAGAGAGCAAGATATTGAAAACCTATTTGAAGAAGTAATGACAGAAAACTTCCCCTACCTGGTGAAAGAAATAGACTTACAAGTCCAAGAAGCACAGAGAACCCCAAACAAGAGGAACCCAAAGAGGACCACACCAAGACACATCATAATTAAAATGTCAAGGGAATTAAAGACAAAGAGAGAACCTTAAAGGCAGCAAGAGAAAAGCAAGGGAATGCCCATTGGACTGTCAGCTGATTTCTCAACAGAAACTTTGCAGGCCAGAAGGGAGTGGCAAGAAATATTCAAAGTGATGAGTAGCAAACACCTACAACTAAGATTACTCTACCCAGCAAAGCTATCATTCAGAATTGAAGGTCAGAGAAAGACCTTCACAGATAAGAAAAAGCTAAAGGAGTTCATCACCACCAAACCAGTATTATATGAAATGCTGAAGGGTATTCTTTAAGAAGAGGAAGAAGAAGAAGAAAAAGAAAAAGACAAAATATATGAAGAATAAAATGCCAATAAATACATATCTATCAACAATTGAATCTAAAAATCAAAATAAATGAATAAGAAATCTAATGAACAGAATAAACTGGTGAATAAAATAGAATCGGAGGCATGGAAATGGAACAGACTGATGATTTTCAGAGGGAAAGGGGTTTGTGGGGGGGGGTGGGGAGAGATTAAACAATGATTTTATAGGCATACATGCATTACCTATGGCCACAGACAACAGGGTGGCGAAGGCCTGGGATGGAGCAGGAACCAGGTTGAGGGGACCATGGGAGAAAAAAAGAGGGACATCCCAACAATACTCTCAACAATAAAGGTTTAAAAACAACTGTTTAAAGCAAAAGCAAAAAAAAAATCATGAGCTTGCACTGCCACCACTAGCATACCCATCTCACAGATGTGGAAACGGAAGCTCAGAGGTTATACATCTTGCTAAAAATTACTTGACTAATAAATAGCTGACCCAGAATTGGAACCTAAACTTATCTACTGCGAAGGGCGTGCATACTGTCTGGTCCTCTGCCCTGTGCTAAAGAAGGACGCGTGCCCGGTCTGCGACAGGAGAAGCCATCTCCTGCTGGTTC